CAAACTGTTTTTAAAAGCAGATAAATTAATAGATCCTGGGAGTTGAGATTATTTCTGGCAACAACCATTCGATACTTCATCTGATCCTTTCATCTTTATTAAACAGTTAAACAGACATCTTATTCAAGTATTATAAAGTAATTAACATGAATGATAAATCTAATATTAATGAATTAAGTCTGGGAAATTCTATGCTGCATGTTTCTTTTTTTAAGATTTACTTATTTATTTTAGAGAGCACGAGCGGGAGGGGCAGAAGGAGAGGGAAGGAGACTCTCAAGCAGACTCCCTGCTGAGCACGGAGCCTGCCTGGTACAGGGCTCTATATCTCACGACCCTGAGATCAGGGCCTGAGCTGAAACTAAGTGTCAGATGCTTAACTGACTGCGCCACCCAGGCACCCCAAAAGTCACCTGTTTTTGTTGTCGTTGTTGTTGTGTTTGTTTGTTTAAAGTAGGCTCCATGCCCAGTGTGGAGCCCAGTGGGGCTTGAACTCATGACCCTGAGATCAAGACCTGAGCTGAGATCAAGAGTTGGATGCTTAACTGACTGAGGCATCCACGTGCCCCTATGCTGCATGTTTCATGAGTGATCTAAAGCAATGCACTTGGTCTTAAGGCAGTTTTGTTGTCAACTGTATATAAATAGCTTTGTCCTGCGATAGAGATAGCAATTTAACATGGAATAAAAAGGATCGTGGGGGTGCCTAGCTGGTTCATTCAGTTGAGCATCTGACTTTGGCTCAGGTCATGATCTCAGGATCCTGGGATCAAGCCCCAGCTTTGGGCTCGGCTCATTCGGGAGTCTGCTTTTCCCTTTCCCTCTGACCCTCCCCCTGCTCATGCTGTCTCGCTCGCTCGCTCTCCAAAAAAAAAAAAAAAAAAAAAAAAATCCTGAAATATTAGTCTCTTACTTTTAAATATATACCTTCTTGTTACCCTAGAAAATGGATCTGGCATATATTCCATGGGCTATAGATGTTATGAATAGGCTGTTTCTGTAGCAAAATCAACTTAGTTGCAATTAATGTATTTAATTACTAAAGTCAGAGTGATAAGATTAACTAAGGTTGGTTTATACTTTTTAGCTTGTTGGGGTGTTTAGTGAATTTTGTTTGCTCATTAGGTTTCATTATTTTAATCCTGAGCTTCAGTCAGAAAATATTGAGAACACCAGTTTGTTTTCATAAAATCTTTTGCTTGACGGACGCCTGGACGGACGCCTAGGTGGCTCAGTTGGTTAAGCGTCTGCCTTTAGCTCAGGTCATGGTCCCAGGGTCCTGGGATCAAGTCCCACATCGGGCTCCCTGCTCGGCAGAAAGCCTGCTTCTCCCTCTCCCACTCCCCCTGCTTGTGTTCCCTCTCTCGCTGTGTCTCTCTCTGTCAAATAAATAAATAAAATCTTTAAAAAAAAAAATCTTTTGCTTGAGATTTGGTCTAATTTTTTTTTAAGATTTTATTTATTTGACAGAGAAACACAGTCTAATTTTTATTTTAATTTTTTTAAATGTTTTATTTATTTATTCATGAGAGTCAGAGAGAGAGAGAGGCAGAGGCAGAGGGAGAAGCAGGCTCCCCGCCTAGCAGGGAGCCCGATGCGGCACTCGATCCCAGGACCCTGGGATCATGACCTGAGCCGAAGGCAGACGCTTAACCATCTGAGCCACCCAGGCACCCCCACAGTCTAATTTTTAAAGCCTGACTCTGCTGCTGAGGAGGATGACTCTGCTTTGAGGAAAACCTTATTTATTTGTTTGTTTGTTTTTTATTTATTTATTTGAGAGAGAGAGCTGGGCAAGGGGCAGAGGGAGAGGGTGAGAGAGAAGCCACAAGCAGATTCCCCACTGAGCGCAGAGACCAAAGTGGGGCTCGATCCCACAACCATGAGATCATGACCTGAGCCACCCAGGCGCCCCAAGGAAAACCTTTTGAATAAAAGTAGTCACTGTTTCTAGGAATTTATAGTAACAATTCACGTTCTTTCAAGAGGTATTAAAAGAATTACCTACTAATCATCTCTGTGCAGAGATGCTAGAAATCATGTTCCTCATGAGAAGATCTTCTGTTTCTGATGAGAATACCTTTGTTTTTGAAGACAGGAATTTATAAAAAGACGTTTCTGGATGGAAAAATCATAAGGGCTGTAACTGTAAATCCAGAGCTTAATTGTAACTTTGCAAATATAACTTAATATAAAGAAGAACACTCAGAGCTGTCCAAAGATGGAAAAGGGTACCTTACCAGTAAGCCAGTTTCCCAGAACCGGGGAGGGAGATGCCCATATTGAAGCTGAATGACCACTTGGGATGGGATTGAGGGGGTTGGCTGAGGTTGGAATAGAGCTGTGAGCGTGTTTTTAGAGGGGTGAGCCTCGGTGGCTCTTGATGTCTTTTTTTTAAGTCCTAAACTTTAATGATGCAATAAAATGCAAAGGACATTATTATTGACTTGTATATTTTGCCATTATCCATTTGTGATTTTCTAATGCAGATGGGCCTCTGAAGTTAGAAATTTAACCTTTAATACATTTCTCAGTTCCAGAAAGACTTGTTAACTTCTGTTTTGTACCTAACCCTCGTTTGCAACAGTGTGTGGCTCTGAGCCAGCCAGATTCATTCATGATCTATTGACTGCACAGATGTTTGGGAACTGATGACACCAGCACATACTTAGTTGGGATAGCTCATAATTTAAAAGCAAGACTGTCCACAGACAAAATTTAAAGGTGCTTCTTGAAGTGTGAGCCTTTGTAATGTTTATGGGAACAGATTAGAGGACAGCCGAAACTTGTTACCAACTTTCTAAAGCTCACTCAAACTGAACCCTACCCATCATTAGCAGGTATACAAAGATACCACACTGGCAGTGGTGTGGTGTGCATCTTCTTTCACTGTAGCAGTTCGTGTGGCAAATTTTGCTAAGATCAGGCCTTTCCATGGAGCCATACAATAAAAGGTTAGATTCTTTTTTAAGTTTTTGATATTTATTTTTATTTCTAGAAAGATTTTTTGTTTGCTCCATTTTGAAAGGTTAGAGTCTAGGGGCACCTGGGTGGCTCAGTTGGTTAAGCGTCTACCTTCAGCTCAGGTCACGATCCCTGAGTCCTGGGATCGAGCCCTGCATGGGCTCCCTGCTCAGTGGAGAGCCTGCTTCTCCTTCTGCCCTGCCCCCCCCCCCGCTTGTGCTCTCTCTCTCTCTCTCAAATAAATAAATAAAATCTTTTAAAAAATAAAAATAAAAGGTTAGGGTCTCTCTTCACTGTAATCAGTACCTTGTAAGTATCTATTAAAAATAAACTTCTTTAGGTTGCTTAGATTTCTTTGATCTCAGCATATCTAAGAGAATTGTGTATAGACCCTGTGCATACGGTGATGAATGAAAATGTTATGGGAGCTGAGCTGAGAGGACCATACTTGGTTATTGAGGACTGAAGATTTTATCTAGTCATTTGAACTGTGACTCAACACTCTTCACTTTAATTCCCTCCAAACCTCCAAGATCATATTGCTTCCTAGTACTTAAGAGTTCCTATTGGTGTATAGGGCTGCTTGTTGGCCTCCAGCACCAGAAATTGGCTCCAAATCTTTTCCCATTACATCATCACCCACTAATGTCATTACACCAGAGTGAAATCTGCTTTGAAGATTGTACTCTTGTTTTCCTTCCATCTCTTTCCTCTCATCATTTCCTTTAGAAGGAAAAAGAAAAAAAAATTAGAGACCTCTTGGACAATCCCAGGCAAACATTTAAGGGGGAATCAAACGACCTCAGTCTAAACCTAGATTTATCAGTCTTCATTCCACTCTGCTGACAGAGAGTGATCTGCCCAGCATGTGTCCTTATGGAGTCTGGAAAGGAACACGTTTGGTCATGTGACACCTGACTTTCGTGCTTTTCTCTCAGCCCTTCAGAATTAGTTCTTAATGATTTACATAGCTCTCTGCCAGCATCTTGTTACTGGCCTGTTAAACTTTTTTAAATAATTTCCCAGAATAGAAATTCTTAGGACATCACTAAGTTTCTTATTCTTTGTGTTTAATTAAACTGTTTCTTGCATTTAAGTATTTGCCAGATAAGCATTTAAGCCATCTGGAGTTTTTTACTTTCCCCCTGTAAATCTTATAAAACTTACAATATTATCTACAGTTAAAATTGATACAGGGATCCTTACTCATCTTCCCTCCCCCAACACAAAAGCAGTTGATCGCATGCAGGTTCTGACCCTCTTTTCTCTATCCTAAATTTCATTCCCCATTGTTTTTCAACCACCTTTAAAGCTTCCAGTTGACGGTGTGCTTTGGCTTTTTCCTAACAGAGAGGTTCAGGTAAGGAAAGAATTGGGAAGTAGTTTCAGTTCAGAGACTTGATGCTACCCACTCAATTATTGGCCCAGGCTTTAGCACTTCTGTGCCCTCTGAGGCAGATTAGCTTGAGATTAGAAGAAATAATAATCAACAGTAGCCTCGAAGAAATGGGACCACAGTGTCTAAAACAAAAGAATAAAATGGGCTCTTAAGACTTGGGTTTACATTTCTGTACAGTATTAGTCTTTGGGACCTTAATCTATCTGCTGCAGGCTATGGCGTGGAGTGTGAGAAACCATGGTGAACTTGAAAAAAACATTGGAGGGAATGGCATTGAAAATTATGGACCAGACTAGGGCACCAACCAGTTGCCCTTTTTGTCTCCTCCTAAGATAAGACATTAAAAGGCCTTGATTCATACTAAGATTTCAGTTTGAATTTCTAGTAATTTTAGGTTTTCTAGTTAGAGCTCCTTGATAGTCTCTGTGGGATAAGTTGGATAGAAGGGGAAACTTTTTCCATATGTTTTTGCTAAGATTTAAGTCTGTGTTAAAAAACCTCTTCAGCACAATTATATACCTTCTCAGATTGAAAAATTGAATTAGTGAAAACAGCCATAAGGAAAGATATAAATAACTTGGACAGAAAGTCTGTCTTTATTACTTCTAATGTATCTCATGTGTGTGTTTGTTTTCAGTTGTCAGAATGTCCACAGAAGGAGGATTTGGTGGTACTAGCAGCAGTGATGCCCAGCAAAGCCTACAGTCCTTCTGGCCTCGTGTCATGGAAGAAATTCGGAATTTAACAGTGGTAAGAAAGAACGAGAAACTTGCCAGAGTATAAAGAGCTATGAGATGAATAACCCAGTACTTAGAGTAAAACATTTTTAATCTCAAGCGCATAGGCATAGTTCATTCCTGACCTCTGGGTGGGAACATGAAAATATAATTTACCTTAGGTGAGGTGAGTACAAGGATTTTTTTTTTATATCTTAGTGGCTTTCCTTAGGCATGTGGGTGGATAGTGGATGCTTTGGCTCAGAGGTAGTAGCTTAATGTGAAGCATATCTTTTAGAGATGCAGAAAAGCAGAACTCGTACCTTCCTTTAGTAGCTGTAGCTCATTTCTTAGTCCTGATTCAGTGGCCCTGCCAAATTTCTAGAATCTGGTAAACACTATTGGGCAATGTATTCGACAACAAATCTATTGTAAGCAGGCACTCTTTCTGGGTGTTAAAAGATACACTTAGATCAGGGTTTCTCAACAGCAGCTTTATGGGTATTTTAGGCTGGATAATTCTCTGTTGTGAGGAGCTGTCCTGTGCATCATAGGATGTTTAGCAGTGTCTCTGACCTCTACTCATTAGATGCTAGTAGCAATCCTCCTCCAGTTTTGACAACCAAAAATGTCTCTGAACATTGGCAGATGTCTCCTGGAGGCTAAAGTCATCTCATTGAGAACCACTGGCTTAGAAGAGTGAAATATTACCCTGGCCCCTGCGGAGCTTACAATCTAGTAATTAAAATCAGAGTTATTTATTCAGTGAATATTTATTAAATACTTACTGAATCAGACACAGTAATGAATCTGAAGCAGTAAAAGGTCAGAGTGCTCTGGGATTACAGAGGACATAGTGCTTATTCCTCCCTGGTTGAGTTAGGGAGGCTTTAAGTAAAGGGGACATTTTTTTGGATCTTGAAATATGAGAAGCATTCACCAGATGGAAAGGATAGGCAAGTATATCTTCAGCAGAGTATGGCATTCGTAAAGGCCTGGAGGCCCAGAGGGGAGGGCCTTATGTTTTGAGGACCAGCAAGAAGTTCAGAGTGGCTGGGGGTTGCTATGTGGGTAGTGCGATGGGGGTAGGAGTAGAGTGGTATGGCAGTGGTAGCAGGAGGTGTGATCCATTAGAATTAGAACATTTTCAGAGTGTAGTGTTAGTTCCTTAATGAAAAATGTTCCGTTTGGTGTCATTTTAGCAAATACTGAAGGATCTCTCTGTTTCATATGTGTCATTCCTGCCCTGAAGGCATTAAACACCCTGGCAGAGCAGACACTGGACTCCTTCCTAGTGTAGAACTAATTTTGCACTTTCTTAGAGCTAGTGGCCTTTAAACCTCAGACATACGAGGTCAGTTTGTTTGTTTACTCAACAAATACTTAATATAAACCTGCTGTGGCTGTGCTGGGTACTGTGGATCCAGTAGTGAGCCCTACAGACAAGATCATTGCACTCACAGGACATGCATGCCTGTGGGGGAGGTAAACTGAAACAAATAATGAGTAAATAAAATAAAATAACTTCTCATTATGGTAAATGCCCCCAGTGACTTCAGGGATTAAAAATAAACAACAAAAACCAACCCAGATTCGTATTTTGATGTACTTGTGGGTCGCGTTTGTTTATATGGGGCATTTTCAGCAACTGAATTTGGCGTGGCCTTTCTTGGACTGGCTTGTGTTCAGAGATGAATTTCCACTGAAAATTCATTGTTTCTTTTCTGTAGTGTAAAGCTGGTCGTTATCTATACTGTCTCAGATGTAAGAGAGAGGAGGAAAAGAAATGATTAAGTAAAAAGTAGGATATTTTGTTCATATTTTGAGTGGGTAATGTCACAGTAAAGCTTATGAGGTTTTAGTGCAGGAGTCGGGCTGGTGTAAAGCTAGTGCCCTCCTGGGCTGTGGTGGGATTAGGCCTGTGCCACAAGTCTGTACTCTAGCTTGAGTGTAGAAGCAAAAATCCAGGATCAGGCAAGTGGCCAGATAAACTCCAGAGATCCAGCTCAGCACTTAACTTTCCTGTATCTTAAGTTTTGATTTTTTAAAAATTGTGGTTAAAAACATATAACAAAATGTACCATCTTAACAATTTTAATTAAAATGTACAGTTCTGTAGTGTCAAGTTTATTCACTTTTTAAAAAAGATTTTATTTATTTATTTGAGAGAGAGAATGAGAGAGAGAGAGCATGAGAGGGGGGAGGATCAGAGGGAGAAGCAGACTCCCTGCCGAGCAGGGGGCCCGATGCGGGACTCGATCCTCGGACTCCAGGATCATGACCTGAGCTGAAGGCAGTCGCTTAACCAACTGAGCCACCCAGGTGCCCAAGTTTATTCACATTCTTATGAAACCGATCTCCAGGACTTTTTCATCTTGCAGAACTGAAACTCAAACATAAATGGGATCATACAATATATGTCTTTTTGTGACGGGCTTATTTCACCTAGCATAATGTCTTCAAGGTTCATCCGTGTTGTAGTGTGTGACAGGATTTCTTTCCCTTCTGAAGCTGACTAGTATTCCATATATACGTGTGTGTACCACATTTTGTTTAGCCATTCATCTGGCAGTGGGTGTTTGGGTTGCTTCCCCCTCTTGACTGTAGTGAATGATGCTGTTAGGAATATGGGTATTCAAATTCAAACACTCGGCTTCGATTTTTATTCGACTTGGCTTAATGTTCAGGTTTGATTGCCAAAAAAGCAGATTGTGGTGTTAACCAACTTTTGTTATTTAGACAGCTAGCTAGTCCACCAGAGGTTCAAAGTGGGTTACTTTGACGGATTCAGTTTTATTAGTTCACGTTTTATGAATGAAGAGAAAGACCAGCAAGGAGGGCAGTTGTCTTTAATGATTCTCCTATTGATGACTAGTTTTCTCCCGTTGACAAAGACTCCTAGACCACTACCATGGGATCTCTTACATCAGACGCTTAGAACAAAGTTTGGCATTTAATAGGTGCACAGTAAATATTTGAATGAATCAGACTCCTCCATCTCAGATTTAGTGTGAAGCAACATCTGTGCCAAATTTGAGAATACAGTCTAGGAAAGTTGGGGTGTCTTTCCCTTTGTAAGACTCTTATTTTGCCCTCTGCCTATGGTACATAAAGGCATCTGCTTCTCTGACTGCACCTCGGCCTGTGTAACGTGGCCAGACATTTTGCATTTAGACTATGCCTTTCCAAAACTCAGCAGCTCTTACAACCAGACTTCCTCAGATATGTTAGAGCCTTTTAGGTTGACATCTCAAAATGTCTAACAGATTTTTTTAAAAATTCGTATGTTCCGACTGTCCAAACATAAATAAAACTTTTGAGAATATTCATAAGGTGTTGTGGTCTAAGACTGGGACAAAGATTGTTCCAAAAACAAATTGAAGTTTGCTAGATGATCTATTTCATGATGTATTGGGAACTCTGGCCTCAATCATTTTGGTCTGAGCTTTGCAAAAGCAATTTATCTTTCATCTCCACTTGGCCATTACGTTCTTCTCACTCTTAAAAGACACTGTAATTGTCCATAAATTCAGGTGACGTTCAGTTGGGACTGAAGTTGGTTAAAAATCATACCAAAAAGATTGTACGCTAGGATGATTGTGCAAAATACTGTATTCCTGCTCAGCAGGGCTCTGGGAACATTAACAGACTTCTTGGCATTGAGTTTTACTCCTCTGAAGACCTTTTGAAGGTGGGGAAGAAAAAGCTAACTTTGTTTTTTTGAGGGCAGGTGGGGAGGCAACAATGCTAAATCTTGAAAAAAATCTCATCCACCCCTTATTCCTTCCATCCCTTTCAGCCTTCAGTTAGCTGTAATTTGATGCCTAGGCCACTTTCTTTTAATTGCCAGGTACATCTTTTCATTCTTTGGTGCCTTCAGATTGGACAATGACATTTCTAACATTACAGTCAAACCAGATAACCATTTAAATAAAACCTTGGAAATGAAAGTTTGTGGACTGTTAGAAAATAGGTCTTGTGCTGTTTGAGCCCTTCCTGTAAGAGCAGTGCCGCCTAAAGGTTAGTCTGTATGAACCACACGGGGATCTTGTTTAGAATACAGATTCTGATTTAGTATGTTTGGAGTGGAACCTGAGATTCTGCATTTCTTTTGAGTTTCCAGGTGATGTCATTGCTGGTCTAAGGACCTCACTTTGAGTAGCAAGGCTTTAACCCTCATTGTGGGTCATAGTCATCAGGGGAGTTTTCAAAACACATGGTGCCTGGACTCCACCCCTTAGAATTCCTGGTTCAGTTACTCTGGGGTAGAACCCAATCCTCTTGTTTTTCAGAAGCTCCCCAGGTGTTTCTAACAGGCATTCAAGGTTGAGAATCACCACTTTGGAGAGGATTAGAATCTTGACTTTGCTGGGGTCCTGACTGGGTAGGCCTGGAAAAGATTTCTCATCATTATTTGAAACTCCGGATATTCTTTAGTGCAGCCTGAGACCTTGACTTTTCTTTGGCTCCAGATTCTCATTGAGTGAATTCAGACTTCTTGAAACTTGGCAGTTTCGGATGGCAGCATTTTTAATGTAGTTCTTTGGTTGTGGTCAGGAGCACGAGAATTTTCTGAGAGAATCTGTTCTTCCACCGTGCTGATATCACTCCCAAGGGTAGGGGAAAAAAGTATGTGTCAGTTGTTCTTCCACTTGGATCAGCATCAGGAGAAGCTAAATGGTATTCACATCAGTTGCATGGTTGCCAGTGACAAGGGGTCACTGAATTGAAAGGCAATTAAGTGGACCTCAACCTATGGCTGGTGAGAGTGCTGCCCTCTCCAGTAAGCTTGTCGTAAATCCTTACACGTGACTGGAAAGCTAGGATGAGATTATAGAAGACTGGGTTGTTGTCAGCGATAATGAACCACACATGCATATCTGAAGATCCACTTTTCACACACTGCCCCTTGAGATCTCAGGGTTTGGGGATCATGAGAAAGTTTCCCAAAAGAAAAGGTTTTTGAGGGGGAGACTTAGAGCAGCGTTTTTTGGTAAATTTCTGCCTCATTTTAGATCTCTCCAAGGTTGGGACCTTTTATTGTTGGTTTTGATTGAAGAATAGTCTCATAGAAATTCTAAAAGTAATATTCTTCTCTTTCAGGTTGGGGAAAGAGGTCGTCTTACCAGCTTTGGGCTTTGGTTAAGAAACTTTAGAGCAGGGGCGCCTGGGTGGCTCAGTCGTTAAGCGTCTGCCTTTGGCTCAGGTCATGATCCCAGGGTCCTGGGATCGAGTCCCACATCAGGCTCCCTGCTCGGCAGGAAGCCTGCTTCTCCCTCTCCCACTCTCCCTGCTTGTGTTCCCTCTCTCACTGTCTCTGTCTGTGTTAAAAAATAAATAAATCCTTAAAAAAAAAAAAAAAACTTTAGAGCAGCGGTGCCTGTGTGGCTCAGTCGGTTAAGTGTCTGCCTTTGGCTTAGGTCATGATCCCAGAGTCCCGGGATTGAGCCCCACATTAGGCTCTCTGCTCATCGGGGAGTCTACTTCTCCCTCTGACCCGCCCCCCTCTTGTGTTCTCTCTCAAATAAATAAAATCTTAAAAATCAAATATATTAAAAAAATTCTACATATGAGTGAAATCATATAGTACTTGTTTTTCTCTGACTTATTTAAAAAAAAAGAAGAAAGGAAGAACTTTTAGAGCAGTCATGTGGAAATACATTAAATAACCAAGCCCAGTGAGAGTGCACGTGCAAGCAAGTGGTCATAATCTTGTGCTGTGTGTATCATCCTGGGAGGCCTTCCAGAGGAATTATCCCCAGCATTCTCCTTGGCATTTCTGTTTCGCATCATCATTTTGTGTGATCTGCCACACAAGAAGGAAGACCAGTGATTGATTTCTGTGGTTAAATGTTTTTTTAAATCCCTTTAGGGTCTGGCCCCAGTCCAGCATTCTCTTACCCACTGCTTCTCTCTGTACTAAGATCATACATTTAAAACTTATATAGGCCATGTTTTTTGTGTTGCTGTACTTCTGCTTCTGTCTGAATGACATTCTCATACTTTTCCAACAAGCAAGTTTTGTAACATCCCTTAGACACAGTTCAGATGTCAGCCCTTCTGCGGAGCATTTGCCAGTTCTTCTCGTTCATTCCAACCCCTCCCCCTGCCCTGCCAGCAGGTTATTTACTTTCTTGTCCCTGTGGGATTTTATACCCCCACTCTACTATAGCATAGGGGGTTATAATATTTTTCTATGGCAGTCTCTAACAATTAAACTATAATCTGTTCAAGGGTAAGAATAGATTTGCATCTTTTACACAGTAGCAGGTACCATACATGCACTTTTAGTTGAGTTGCATGAATGAGTCAATGAAAGAGGAGAAGAAAATAACAGAAAGAATATATCCTGCTGTCTTTTTTGGTGAGATTTTAATAATTTGGACTTGTAAAGCCCTGCCACTCCAGTGTTAGTTTTAGTAGAGACTTTATGGGAAATGTTTTACCTAACCTGGAAAGGGAAAAGATTAAAAAAAAATGGTGTTGGAGGTTTGTAGAGGTGAGTGGTCCCATGCCGCTTGTTGGGTTTGTGAGGAGAAATCTAGTGTTTTAGTATGCCTTTTATCATAATAAAACTCTTCCTTCTGTAGTCATAAAAATGGATTCTGGGGAGGCTGGTGACCTTTTTCCAAAAGGCCCCACTGCCTTCTTTGACATACAGTTGAGGGTTTCTGTTGGTTTTGGAAAAGAAAGTTCGCTTATGCACATTCATTATACTAAATCTCAAATAATAGCTGCTCCTTCCATAACGTGATGGTGCAAATTCCCAGGTGAGCACCTTGGGCTTGGTGAGTCACATTTCAGACCACTTATAGAATCTGGCACTTGACACCTGGGCCCAGGCGGGGTTTCACTGATTTTAGCCAATCTCTGCCTTTGCACCCTCTCTTCACTGCAGCTTTGAAACCCAGAATTGATTTTTATTTCTAGAATTACATACATCACTGGGCATGTGTTTGAGTACCAGTAGTATCAAAATAAAAAATAAAAAAATCGCAAATAATTGAAGTAGTGCTGGTCAAAAAGCCCTTTCCTAAATCCTATCCACAGTAAAGTCATGTGGTTTCCTCCCAGCCCAGTCTTGTTTGTTAAAGAAAGAAGTGCCAGGGCTGTTCCAAAAAGGCAGTTGATAAATTCATCCTTTTTCCCCCATACTCTTGGGCTTCCACCCCCACCTCCAGGCAAACTTCGGAGACAAGGCCTTTGCTGCTGTGAGGGGAAAGGCCTCCTCCCTGATTTCTGGGGTTAGTGCAAAAGCCAGAAGTAGCCAGTGTCAGGTGGTACTGGCTGAAGACAGCTGTGGGTCACCGTGGTCAGGTGCTGGCAGCACCTTGCCCTTATAGTCCCAGAATAGAAAAAAGAATTGGCAACTTAAAGGAACTCCCCCGAGGCAAAAACCTCATTTTTAACCTGCATATTGCAGACTGGTAAGCTCTGGTGGGGGTGGGGGTGCGGAGGAGATGCTCATAATGCACCTCTATATTGTGCCAGCAAAGAGTCTGATACCGTTTGGGTCTCCTTTTCATGAGGGTGCTGTTAGATGGCATTGTAACTTTATCCTGAAACCTTTCAATTATTTGAAGCTCTGCATGGGTTAAGAAGAATTTTGCTCCGGGACTTGGATTCTCTTCATTTAATTTGTACCTCTTCTCCTGCTGTATTTTTGGAAAGGAGAGACTAGGCCAATCACAGTGTTTCATGGTGCCTGTCATGCCCTGCTGATTGTCCCCACCATTTATGTCCCTCTTGTTACTCATTTCAGAAAGATTTCCGAGTACAGGAACTCCCACTGGCTCGTATTAAGAAGATTATGAAACTGGATGAAGACGTGAAGGTGAATTCATACTCGTTTTTATTATTCATATTGAAGCTATAATGGTGGGTAGGTTGTCGCTCATTTCTGCGGCACTCAAAGTTTAAGCAGAATGAAAATATTGTTATTGTCTCGTTTTATTTGGTTCCTGTCTAAAATTATTAAGTGAGCTGAAATTGAATAGTTTTAATTATTATATGGTGCTTCTCTGGAAAATAGGGATATCCTGTTTTCCAGATGTTGATAATATGCTGAGGGTTTGCTTTTTGAATCACCCATCCTTTTCACTGTGCAGGGTAAATGGTAAACACGAATCATCAAATCAGCAGGACAGTGCCATCTTCTCAATTAGCATCTCATTGCAGTCGCTAGTTGTCTGTGAGCTCTAAGAAATGTTTGATAATGATATTGCTCCCGTTCTAACTTTTCTGTCTGTGAGTTGTTTTATGTGACTTAACGCCCCAGAGAAGGTTTCCTTGCAGGCAGCTATTTCTGCATTCCTAGGAGCCCACCTCTCATTTCAACTCTTGGAGAGAGAGCAACGCTCTCCCCTTATCACTCAAAACTAATAGTCCCTTGTGTTTGTATAGAAAGCTAACAGTAATTTCCCCTTTTATTAGCTCTCACTTTCTTCTCATGGTAACCCTGTGAGATTTGATAGGATAAGAATTATTAGTGCCATCATAAAGATATGGAAGTGACTCACCCAGAGTAGAAGAACCAAGATCCCAGTTCTTTTACCTCCTTCCTTAACTCCAGACCTCTTCCCATGGCTCTGTCCTGCACAGACCACCTCACCAAAGGTTCAGAGCCTTGTTTGATCAAGAGCTTGAACTTTGAAGTCAGACATGGCAAGGCAGCTTACATTTCTCGAGCACTTACTAAATGCCAGGCCCTGTGCTGGGTGCTTTTACATGTATCATTTGATTCCCACAGCAACATGGGAAGGTTGTCTTTTTTTTTCAGTATGTGAAAAATAAAGCCGAGAACGATGGGAATGGGAAGCCTGAAATTTTATCTAAATCCAAACTCATTATCTTTCCCCACATTGTCTCTCCTTGGTCTAGAACCTAAACCCTGCCACTTACTGGCTCTGTGGCCATGGGCAAGTCACTTCTCCTCTCCTAAACCCTAGTTTCTTTGAAAGTGTATTAGGAAAATAAGAAAGTGCATGGTAGGTCCTAGAAAAGTAAGTGTTCTTCCCCTCTTCCTTTCTTCTACCTGCTACCTGCTTTGTCCCTACTTGTGGATTTATTTTACCTTGGGATCTCTTGAAGCTATCACCTTCTCATTTTTCAAACCTTGCCCCATTGTCCATGGCAGGACATGAGGCAAGGGACAAGTGGACTGGTTTGAATGACATGCTGGTGATTGACAGGGAGGGCCTGTGTCTGTTGCAGATGATCAGTGCAGAAGCACCTGTGCTCTTTGCCAAGGCAGCCCAGATTTTTATCACAGAGTTGACTCTTCGAGCCTGGATCCACACAGAGGATAACAAGCGCCGGACTCTACAGGTAATACAGATGCACGTGGGGAAACTGGGCAAGCAGCTGCCTTTGCCTTTACCCGCTTCTCTTGTGTGGTTTTGGGCCAAAGATTGTTCTTCCTTAGATTTCTGTCAAGTTGATGTGTGAAATTGGCATCTTCCTTCACTGTTGTGAGGCAGACCTACCCTATAGCCTTGACAGTATTTCCCAACCAAGAATCTTCATTGCCAATTCTTGTGGTTTTCACAGCTCAGTGACTGAACTCTTCACTTGGTGAACCCTCATTATAAACAGGCTAAAGTGATACCGATCTCTTTCCAGATGTAAACAACTTCTGGTTGGAAGCTTGAGAGACGCCAGGAAAGGACAGTCCCAGGAAGAATCCATCTCACCTACCTCATTTGTCTTTTTGTTCCTTGTGTGCCTTCCTGGGAATCCCTTCCTTCTTCTTTTTCATTTTTTTTTTTTTATTTTAATCCAGAAAAATCAATATTCATATGGTATGAAGACCTTGGTCATTGGCTCTAGAGGCCTTTCTCTTAACAGCCAGGCCCTAGTTCTTGGAGGAAAGGTTTCCTTGACATAAGAGGAAGGGTGTGACAGAAGACACTGGCAGTCTTTCAGTAACAAAGCCAGGAAAGTAAATTATTTTCTCCTTTGTTTCCCTTACCTCCAAATCAAAGATGCATGCATATTTATTCTGCAAATATTTATTGAACACCCACAATGTGCCAAGCACTGTTCTGGGCTCTGGGGATTAGCACACAGAACAGACCTAAACCCCCACCCTTGGGAAACCTATATTCCAGTGCAGCTAAACATGGCAGACTTACTCTATGCTGCTTTGAAAGAAGCCTATGGCTCTAGAGAGATGCAGTTAAAGTTACCTTCAAAATCAATTCAGATTGAAAAATAAAATGAGCAAAACACTTGGACAGACCCTTCAAAAAAGAAGATATCCTGGGTGGCTCAGTTGGTTAAGCATCTGACTTCAGCTCAGGTCATGATCTCAGGGTGCTGGGATAGAGCTCCACGTCGGGTTTCCTGCTCAGCGGGGAGTCTGCTTGAGATTCTCTTTCCCTCTTCCTCTGCCCCTCCCCCTGCTCATGTGCGCGCACTCTCTCTCTCAAATAAATAAATAAAAAATGTTTAAAAAAAATATCCAAATGACCAATAAACATATGAGTAGGTGTGCAACATCATTGTCCCCTGTGAAATAGAAATAAAAACCACGAGACATTGGTTTACACCCACTGGAATGGGACTGACAGTACCAAGTGTTGATGAGGAAATGGAGTGACTGAAACTCCTACAGTACTGCTGGGCAGAATGTGAAGTGGTACAATCACTTGGAGAAACTATTTGGCACTTTCTAATAAGCTTAAACATATCCCTACTGTATGACACAGCCATCCCACTCATAGGTATATACCTCAAAGGGTGGACCTTCTTGTATAAGAACGTTCATAACAGCCTTATTTATAATAGCCAAAGACTGGAAACAAGTATCCACCAAGATGGGGATGTATAAATAAAAGGGATATGTTCATAAAATTGATTACTACTCAACAGCAACAACAACAAAAAACGATTGATCCATACAACATGGGTGAATCTGAAAAATTATGTTAAGCAAAAGAAGCCAGAGGAAAAAATTATATAGCCCATGATACCATATACTATCACCTTCTCTGATGATAGAAATCAGAGTAGTGGTTGCCTCAGATTCGGGGGAGGGCAATTGGTTGGAAAGGGAGAGAAGGACACTTTTTATCATCTTATCTGGGTGATAGCTACCTGGCCGGATATATTTATTAAAATTCATCAAGCTGTATCCTTAAGATTTCTGTTTTACTGAATATGAGTATTCAGTAAAATATCACTAGCATGAAGAAAGGCAAAATAAAATGTTAAAAAGACCAACTGAAGTATGTTTGTGTTTCCAAAAAACTGTAGAACACTTTGGTGTGTGTTTGGAGGTGCTTATTATTTGGTTCCCCACCCCTGCCGCCCCCCCCCAGTTCCATCCATAGATGAGCTGCTTAGGTAGCTTTGAGTAGGTGACATCATCAGGAATGTGATACTATATCGTACTGATCTTAAATGAGACCTGGCGGCCTTAAGATGTGCCCTGCTTCGGGTAGAGGGTTTATTACCAAGCTGGTGGTTGGCAAGAAGGGTGCATTGGGGTTTTGCATTTCAGTGGCTTGGGGCCATCACAGAGAGAAGGGAAGGAAAAAACAGAAAATTTCCATCCCCTTTTATTTTGTCTGGTGAGTCACCTCTTTTAAGATGTGATACATAGAGATTGCTAGGGATTCCTGTTACCATGTTGGCTTTCTCCCCCAACATTTTATTATGAAAACATTGAAATGTAAGCAAAGTTAATAGTGTTTATATACTCACCACCTAGATCCTACTGTTAACAGTTTACTCACTTCATCCTCATATCTGTCTGTCCCTCTGTCCATCAAGTCACTTATTTTTTTTTAAGTGGTTCCACACTGGGCCCCCCAGTGGAGGGCCCAAACTCGACCCCGAGATCCAGACTGAGATCAAGGATGCTTACCTGACGGAGCCACCCAGGCGCCCCGCTCTATTTTTAAATGCATTTCAAAGTTTACTTTCCCCTAAAGACTTGAACATGCATATCATTCACGAGAGTTCGCTACTTTTTCTTGTTCTTTTTTTCTTTTGCTTTAAAATTTTCATACAGTGAAATTACATGAATCTTAAGGATACATAGTGTGTTCGTTTTTAATTTTTTTTTAATTTTAATTTTATTATTTAAGGAAAGGGAGTATCACTCTTAGAATTCCATTGGAACAGGGCTTGGTTTCAGTATCATGTAGTCAATTCTAGTAACAACTTCAGACTTCTGGTATCAAATCACATTAAACAAGATTTAAACCGTGGATTTAACATTGTGACTATTTATTTATTTATTAAAGATTTTATTTATTTGACAGAGAGACACAGCGAGAGAGGGAACACAAGCAGGGGGAGTGGGAGAGGGAGAAGCAGGCTTCCTGCTGAGCAGGGAGCTCGATGAGGGCCTTGATCCCAGGACCCTGGGATCATGACCCGAGTGGAAGGCAGACGCTTCACAACTGAGCCATCCAGGCGCCCCTAACATTGTGACTTTAAATTCCAAAATACAAATCATAGCCTTGTGGGAACTAATATTCTATAGATGCAGTGATTGGAAAATACTGTAAAAAGTTATTTAATTAGGATTTCAATAGAGATCCCCAAAGGTTATAAGATTGAATAATAGCCTAACCTTGTTAACCACACAATGAACAGAAACCTGCCAGTTGAGATTGCTAGCTGGAGGATGATAATTTAACAACTGTAAGGAGGACTTGGGGTAGGATCCACCAGAGGTGGTAGTCGTAATTGGAGACTCAAATACCCAGTTAGTAGAGCATGAACTACATCTGTATCTTCTTTGTCAGTGTCTGTCCATCAAGTCTGACGTGAAGTTGGTAAGTTTGGCTGTGCGTATTCCAGCTGTAGCCTTAGCCACGGTCATTGAGTTTGGCTTAGAAGTCCTCATCTTCTCTTACTTGTGACATGGAGGGTGTAAAGCCAGGTGAACTAGTTTCTCCCCCGGCTAATTTTTCACCCTGCTTTTCTTTGTTACAGAGGAATGATATCGCCATGGCAATTACAAAATTTGATCAGTTTGACTTTCTCATCGATATTGTTCCAAGAGATGAACTGAAACCTCCAAAGCGTCAGGTGAGCTGGGAAGGCCTTGCTCCTGCTTCTGACCGAAGAGCGCCTTGCATACTGGTGTCAGATATGCTCCTTTTCCTCTCTCAGCCCAAGTCATTTGCTGTTCCTTTTGCTTTACTTTGTCTAGACCAGATCCATCCTTAACATCTCCCTCTGTTACTCATTTATGGATACTTTTAACTCAGTGCCTCTGAGGTGGTATTTCAGTGAAAGTAGACAAAATGATAAAGACAAGTTACAAACAGTAAAGTGAAGCTCTTTTCAAGGTACCCTAGGGAGTCTCTCAGAGTTCTTAACCTGGGATGGGAGAACATTTCCAGCCAGGTACAGATTTTAGATTTTCAAGATTTAAAGAAACAGCTTCTCTATGTGCACAGTGGTGTTTGGAGTGAATGGACTTGGGTTTTCTCTTACTCTGGATTGCGGTTCTCTGTGTAGTGCTCGGGCTATACATTAGATCACCTGTTAGGGCTTAAAAAATACTAGCGTCTGGGCTTTACTCCACACCAGCTGAATCAGAATCTGAAGGGGAGGCCCAGGCCGTAGTACTTTTTAAAGCTTTTCAGATGTGTTTAATGTGCAGCCCAATTTGAGAACCACCACTTAACCTGTTTTCTAAGCAATCACGGGAAAGAATGTGAATATCTGTCTTTGCCTCTCTTTTGCCTGCCCCTCTCCAAAGGTCACACTGACTTTTTTCCAGCACCTTGGGTGCATCAAGCTCTTCATTGCAATTGTAATAGACCCCTCTCCTGTATAGCTCATTGTTTGAGGCACGCAGATTGCATGACTCAGTAGGTGTGGTTAGAGACACTTGGGGAATAGTGGCAGTGTCTGGCAGGAGCAAAGCTGTGCTTTGTTCTGCTTGCTTTATCTTGTTAATAAAATTTTAAGTGTTTTTAATGAATTATTTCATAATATATTATCCTTAGAACAGAATCATTCAGTGACAACCATTCTCCTATGCTGTCTCACACTAATAACCAGTCAGGAAGTGTAGAAGTGGGCATCTTAAAGGACATCTGTAATCCTCACCCTGCCTGGGGGCCTTTGTATCAGCAGGCCCTCTGTCCCCTCCTTATTAGAGCAGGGCGCCTCACTGCGGCTCCGTTCTTTTTGGGCAGTCTTTGCTACTGTAAACATCCTTGACTGGAAGCTGTAAGGTGTTCAGAGGAGCTTTCAGTCGGATGTTTACAGCGGCAGGCTGCCACGGTCGTCCCCAGCTGCGCATCGCCTTTGAAACCATTGCAGGTTTGTGCCCACGGGTTCAGTTCCTCCTCTTGGTGTGTTTCCCTCCTCTCTGAGAAGTCCATACAACAAGAACTCAGACCACTTCTCTTCCTCCAAAACAAATGCTACCACACCCTTGCTCTCCTTTTTGGAATTTGTTTCAGAAGCTCCCTTTAAAAACAAGGTGGTGAGCCCTGTGACAGAATCAGGCCTTGTGCTAACTCCTGCTCGTTCTCTGTGGGCTGCTTGCTGAACCAGCTGGCTGGAGGGGAGGGTCATGTCCTGTCCCTTCCTCACGTCCTCAGTGCCTGGCTCTCTCAGGGTGTCAGGCAGCTCCTAGTTCCATCCTAGCCTGACTCATAATGCTGTGATCCATCTCCTTTTAAAGTGTCTAGCTGAAACAGCTCCTTGCTGCCTGGATTCAGGTCTTTGTAGGTGTTCAAGCCATTGATGGGTGTCCTTTTGGGGACAGCTGCTGCCTGGCCTTTGAAAGGTTGAGATTGCTGAAAGCTGGCCTGAAATTCTAAGATAGCACTTTTAATCCTCTGTAGACATGAAGTTTTCCCCAGTTACAAATTGGCTGGCACCTCCTTAAGTCCTTTAAAAGCGCCTACTCTTCAAAACTCACCCTTTCTGAAGGAGGCAGCAGTTCATTTCTGGCTCCTGAAGTGAAAGTACTTTTTTCAGTCTGGAGCTGGCTGCACAACTCTGTAGTGATGGCCCGAGGATGGGATGCTGCTCATTCTCTGACGTTTGTCAGTCTCCCCTTCTGAAAAGATTCCAAGAGCAAGCCCTCTGGTCAGGGAGGCCACTGTGAAAGCTGGGCAAGTGCCCCATTCTGGATTGATCCAGTCATTCGAGATTGTTCTAGCACAGGGGGTCATTTCCCACTGTTGGAGAAAGAAACTAGCCAGAAATACTGAGTTGTAGATCTAAGGTCCTTGACTTCTCAGAGATGCTTGGAAATTTCTCTTGTTCTTCGGGGAAGCAAGTAAAGACTATGCAGAAGCAGAAGATAGTTGAGGCTGACTTCTACCCCACTAAAGCTATGAGTTGAAAGTTCCTGCCCATTGAAATGTCATTGTCTCTTCACCCATTTCTTTAAACCAAGCATAATCATTCCCTTGCTAGCTTGCCCTCCATTGGCCGGATGAGTCTTCATAATGCAAACGAACCTTAGATGTGCCTCGTTCCATTCCAGTGATTCAAGAGCAGTCATGCCTGGTACTCACAACACCAGCCTATGCGCCTCTACTTGGTACTTCCAGAGTGTCCTAGACACTGCCTAGGTCATAAACAACTTAAGAGGGTTTGGTAGGCAATGTAGGAGAAGCTCTTTACCTGCTGCCACAGTTTTTGGCAAGGACTGTTTTGGTTTCTGAAAGGATTGCTTCAAGGATTTTCTTTTTGTCTGGCAGAAAGAGTGTATTCACTTGCAGGTCAGTTGCAGTGAGAGATAACTGGAGAAAGAACAATCACAGGTCGGGGCTGGGAAATGTCAGTTTCTCCCTCCTCCCTGATTTCCTTCAAGTTGGTTCTGGGGGTGTCTCAATCCTCTCTACCCTCTCATTTACCCAAGAGCTTTTGTAAGTTAGGTCTAGAATATAGTGATTGATGTTTTTTATAAAATGGGAAGGACGTTCTCAGTGGAAAATAAATACATTGAACCTATTTCAGGAGCTTTAAAAAGAGCAGTTGGCCTCTGTTTCTTGGGTAAGGGAGGGTATCGGTATTTATCCCTTTCAAAGCCAAGAGCTAGTTGACAGGCTGACCTTTATTTATAATGGTGAAAAGTTGAGTTGAAAAGAAGGTGCTGTTGTTATAGTTACATTGTGCTGGAAATAGACCTAGACGAGAAAAAAGGGGACCTCCTTTTTTTTTCCTGCCTCAGTGTGGTTACGTTCAGGGTTCAGACTGTTTGGGTCTAAAGCACAGAACACATTAACCTAGAAAATTTGTTCATGTTTGAGGAGTAGCTTAGAAACCCAGAATGTTAAAAGTGTCTGCTGAGGCTGGGTGGGTGGCCATTAGGGAATCTTTTGATGCCGAGACCCCAGTTCCTGAAAGGCTAGTTGTCAGTCCTAATTCTAGTATCCGGGGCCCCCAGTCCCCAGGCAAGCCCTGTTCTGCACGGGATACAAGCTTCTCCCCACACCATGGCCACAGAATCCTAGAGGTAACAAAAGAGAGTTTAGGTACTCTTTTCTGTTGGTAAAAGCTGTTGGGTTCAAGAGAATATGTCATACTACCAACTTAAGTTTTAGAAAAGCACTTTGTGGGGCACTTGGCTTGCTGTCGGAGGAGCATGCGACTCTTGATCTTGGGGCTGTGAGTTCAAGCTCCACATTGGGTATAGAGCTTACTAAAAAAAAAACAAAAAAAACACTTTCTTACCTGCAGCTCTGTGCCTGACTCTATAAATCTGTCCATTCAGCAGCCTCTTATTGAGTGCCTACTTATAAGGGAATGAATGATTGGAACATCGAAGAGCAAGAGAGAGTTGAGCCCTCATAGCGCTTTCACTCGAGCAGGGAAGGCAGTGAATTTTGACAAGAAGTACAACAAAGTATGGTGAGGAAGGGACTGTGCACCATAGATTGGGGCACTTAACCTAGTGAGGGTATGCAGTCAGTACCAACTGTGTCACTGTCACTGTAGGGAGCTTTGAGGCAGTCCACAGCATCTCTATACCTTGGAGAAGTGTCTTTTCCTCTTTATTTGAACCTGGCAAACTTAGCCCAGAACAAGGAAGTGAGTAAATTAAGCTAATTTTCTGCTCAGCCAGCCCAAGTGGTTGTATGTTTCTGTTGTTTTTGTTGTCCCAGGCAGGGGCACCGTGTGTCGCAGGGCCCTCCGGAGCAGACGCCGATCTCTGTGTCAGTGGTCAGGGGCCTATCAACCCCGGACCGTCAGGCTCTAACCATGCCGTAGTGTGTGTAAACATCCTACACTCTCAGCTGTGAGCTTAAGGTGGCTGGGAGAGGGTTGTTTACTCCTTCTGCCATGGAAAACGTCAGCTGAAGAAGGAACGGTCTCTTCACCCAGCAGATCGGACAGAATGCGGCCTCCCTAGTCAGCCAAGGCAGCCCCCCAGCGGAGAGCTGTTCCTCAGGCCCCCTGGGTTGCGCTTCTGTGGCTAAGTACAACCAGAACCAGATACGACACTGGATAGACGTGGCCCTCAGTGACCAGCTGTGAAAAGCTGGGCACTTGCCTACCGGTGCTCTCAATCCTGACATTCCCAATTCTAAAATTCCAGCCCAGGAAAAGCCTTGTTTCCCTTTCCCCTGCTCTGTCCCTCCAGAGCTGGTGGGCACCAAATAAGGAGAGTGCTGCCTATCTGGGAGATTGGGGGCCAGCCCAAGAGCTTGATGTTTGGGTAGCATCTTCCCAGTGCTCACAATTAGCACCGTCTGCAGATCACAGGCCTTGACAGCGTTTACTGACAAGCACTGCTGGTGCGTGGTTTTTAGTGACGGTAATTATTTGCCCATTTGCAACTCATCATGCGATGGGTGATTACTCTGTACTTCTGAAAATTGGCTCTATGTGTTGTGAAGCCTATGGAATCTGTTATTTTTAGTTTGATTTAGCACAACTGGTCTCTTCGAATTCCACTTTCCCTTGGCTTCAGATGTGGAGAGCTCAGCATTCAGCAGGCAACTGCACAGAGTCCGTTTGGGGGAAGAATGGAAATTCACTGTGGCGGCTGCTGAGTCAGTTCTTTTCCCCTTACCTGCCTCTCCTTCTACCCCACAGGAGGAGGTGCGCCAGTCCGTGACTCCTGCTGAGCCCGTCCAGTACTACTTCACGCTGGCTCAGCAGCCTGCCGCCGTCCAAGTCCAGGGGCAGCAGCAGGGCCAGCAGACCAGCAGCTCTGCGACCACCATCCAGCCTGGGCAGATCATCATTGCGCAGCCGCAGCAGGGCCAGGTCCGTGAGCGGCACGGGGTGTCCGCCAGCAAGCCCGCGCCACTTAGGTTTGGGATGGGGAAGGGCTGGCCTAGGCGGAGAGGCAGGCCAGTCATCAGAGGGCCCTGGAGTTGAAGCCTGGAAACTTGGGCTTCTCCCCACATCAGCCACCCAGGTGATGTGTGACCCTAACCTCTCTGGGCCCTGGTTTTCTCAGGGTCAGATGAGGAGAGTGCAGTGAATCAGACGCTCTCCAGGATCCCCATGAGCTAAGGGAAAACATCTATATCGTTCCCCTGTGAAGAGTAGTGACATCCCCGTCAGAGGTATTGTGAGTGGACCCCACGTCTGCTCTCTGTGCCTACGCTGGAATTGGACTGTGTTAGACCTTTAAGGAAGAGATTAGGCATCGTTACCAGCTTGCATCCCTCTCCTCCCCTTCTCCCTGTCATTTCTCTGTTGCACCACAGTTGTGTCAAGGGACTTTTCTCTTTTTACAGTAGTGATCAGAATATTCTCTCTCTCCAGTGGTATTGTTGTGAAAGCAGTAACATCCATGTTTGTTGGGGATCATGAGAGGCTGTAGAGAACTCTGCTCTCTGAGCTCTGAATCCAGTTCCTGGTCAAGCATTAATTTATTCATCAAACATTGACCCTATCCTATGTGCTAGGGATAAAAGCATGAATAAAACTCCCTATTTTTAAGAATTTTCACAATCTAGTAGGGTACAAATACTTAAAGATTATAATTCCACCACGTGGGAAGTGTAAGAAACATTTAGGGTTGTGTAAAGGGTGTTATGGGATCACATCAAAAGGGATATCTAGGGGGCGCCTGGGGGGCTCAGTCGGTTAAGCATCTGCCTTTGGCTCAGGTCATGATCCCAGTGTCCTGGGATTGAGTCCCGCATCGGGCTCCTCCCTCTGCCTGTCACTCCCCCTGCTTGCTCAGTGTCTCTCTCTCTCTCTCTCTCTGACCAAAAAAAACCAACTAACAAAACGTGAGGGAAGTGGTAGAAGCGGATGTCAGAGAAGGTTCCCTGAAGGGAATAATACGAGTCTTAGAGGGAACAATGGCAACAAATCAGATAAAGAGGGGAAGGAGGGCTTTCCAGAAGAGAGCACAGCACAGGCAAAGACTTGGAGGTGGGAACCGCACAGGGAGCGGTGGGAGGGTACAGTCAGCATGGGGGGTGTCTAGGCAAGTCTGAAAAGAGGCAGAGGACACGTCCCCGATAGCCTTGTATCTGCGGGTAAGGAGCTGGGTTTGCCTAGAAGAAAAAAATTGGGGCGGAGGTAGATTTAAATATTAATTAAGATTTTAGGATTTATTCCCTGTCTCACTTTTTAATCCATATAACAGAAGTTTTAGAGTTCTTTCTCTTTGCCAGACACTGTGCTAGGCAGGAGGGGTTCAAAGATAATCGATTGCAGCCCAGTCCCTGCTTCAGGGCGTTCACCGTACCGTGATGCCCAAGGGACCTTCTTTGGCTAATGCTTGTGCCTCTGGGGTGGTGAGAGCTTTCCCTGCCAAAGGCTTCATCCCTTTACGGAGCGAACTTCAAGGGAGTCCACCAGGCGCAGGCTCTTGATTGGCTGAACATCCTAAGCAGCTCGTGGCTGTTGTGCTCTGACAGCAGGGCACACCATACGTGATTTGACAGCTGCCATGCTAACACAAGCCTTCATTTTCCTGAAATGATTTGGAAATACCTTGGAAATCCTCTTGGGAAAATTGAGTTGATAAAGTTCAGTGATGAGTTGGCAGTATGCTTTTTTTTTTTTAGTCAGCGAGAATTTCATCTCTCCTCTTTGCCACCTCAGACTGGCTCAGCTTGGAGCTGATGAGGCTTGCAGGGATGAAGTTGGTCTCACCCAGTGTCTCCCAGCTGTTCTCTGTCCTGCTGGTTCAGGGTGGCCTTGTGCTGTGTCACCCCTCCTTGGACCTGTGGTAATGGCTATTTCAAGTTGAGTTCAGATAACCTTTGTAGGACAGAATACTTACTAAAGTTGGAAGGAAAGCATATTTTGGTAAAGTGAATCCTGTGTGTTGTCATAAAATTGGAAACTTCTATTCCTGGAGGTCGGGGGAATAGGCTGAGTCGAGAATGCTGGTGTGAGGATGGGAGGTGTTTCCTGTTGTCCTAGCCTACTGCGTGTGTTTTTACATAGATTCCTCTCTCCTCTTTCCTCCCGACCTCCAGGTCATAGTATTTTCTCCTTACCTAGTAGTCCCGTGAGTGTCATCTGTAATTCCTAGAACACATCCCCTTCCCCTGTAACCTCAGATGCACAGGGGACCTGTGCGGTCAGGAACGTAAGAGCATCAGAATAGCATCAGTAGAAGCCAAGGAGCCACTGAGACTTACGTCGTCTTCTTACTGAAGTGATTCTGAATTCACAGTGGGGAGGCATCATACACGAATTGGGGCATTGGGGGTATAGGTGTGGTTTAAAATATTGCACCCTCCTTCCAGCACCATGACCACCGCCGCCAACCCCCACCCCCATCACCATGCCCCGCTACTCCCCACCCCCTCCCACAGCAGATGAACAGTATGTTCTGGGCTCCCTGCTCTAGGTAGTCTGTAAAGGTCACATCTGAGGCTAAAGTTTTGAAATTTGAACAAGTGACTGACCAACCCTTTTGACAGTTCAAGTCTACCATCGCTCGCTCAAAGGAGTAAGTTTCATGGGACTGCAGTCCATGAAGTGTGTATGAGAGACACAATCTGCCAAGTCATATACATTGGACAGAAATTTCTTAAATCTAAGGTTCCTGTTTTAGAGAGTTACAGTTCTTGCTTTGTTAAATTCTGGTGTTTAGGGGTAGCCTCAGTTAGCATCCAGGTCTTAGCGGTGTTTACCTCCCCTGTGGGAAGCCGTGCTTGGTCCAGAGCAGCCAGCTGGTCAGTGTGGGCTGGAGTCATTCTGCTGCTTGCGTGAAGCCAGCGTGCACTTCATTTTCCTTCCAGTGTCTGGCATGCCTAGAAAGGAGTCCAAGGTCCTGAACTTAGTAAATTTGTCCTGACCCCACTCCATTTAGTTGACTCTCCAAATTCACCTGCTCCAGACTTGACTTTGGCCATGTCTTAAGGGAACTATCACGGTTGCTTTGGATTCTTTTGTACCATATGTGCCTGTCACTGAAGGGGCTTTGGGAAGCTACAGCATTTGAACCATAGAGATGTTTGGGGCCTGGCAAGATATTCTGTACTATGAGCCTAAAAATGTGTGTGGCTTTCTCCCATCTTTTATTTTGGAGAGTAACTTTAGCAGTGCTCTAGGCCCAAAGGACTCTTGAGTATTGTTAATTAGTGTTAAGATGAGCTTAGGCGTCCATGGAAGGGGTTTGCTCCTCAACTGCTCGTCGTTAACCCCTTGGTAAGCCTAAAGGCTCTGAGCTGGGGTTGAATCAGCTTTCTCATCACTCTTCTTTCTAGACCACGCCCGTGACCATGCAGGTGGGAGAAGGTCAGCAGGTGCAGATTGTTCAGGCTCAGCCCCAGGGTCAAGCCCAGCAGGCCCAGAGCAGCACTGGACAGACCATGCAGGTGATGCAACAGATCATCACGAACACAGGAGAGATCCAGCAGATTCCGGTAAGCCCTGCTCTGCCTCACATCTGCAAGGCACTGTGCTTCTGTTGTAATGGGAGTGCTTACAGGTCTTAAATGCACACACAGAATATTGTGTCTACCCGTGCACGTGCATGTGTGTGTGTACACATACATTTCTCTAAACTAATATCCCTGTTAACCCAGACCACGACTTGCTTCAATGTGTACTCACTGCTTTCCTTTAATCCAGCTCAAGTTTGCCACTGTGGGGCAGCTCCTCTCGATTTCCCTGCACTCCACCTAAGCAGAGAATGCTCGTAACCACTATTCCATGCCAAGACCCAAAGGCCCTATGAGGCAGTCCTGTCTTTTGATTAGCAGAGAATAAGAGGGAGGTGTACAGGGAAGGCCATAAATACACTTGTTGCATATTCATGAGTCAGTTCCCAGTGGAGCCTGCAGCAAAGTGTATTTTTGGCTTTCATTTAACTTATCCGTCCCTTCACTGTGGACTGCTGCTTCCTGTGTGCCTTGAGGGATTTCATTTCTTGGATTTGTTGGCTTTTTTACTTGTACTTGCTCTTTTGTTACAAAAAAAAGTGTCCTGTCTTAACACTTGCCATCTACACATTGGTCGTTTTGCCACCCAAAGATGTAGAAAGTGAGTGACATTGAGCAGTCCTTCTATTTCCTGCCCCTTGCCCTTCCTATTGTAAATGATATGTAGGCAGATAGAGAAACTCACTTGGACTTGGTTAACCACTTCCTCTTTGAAAAAAGCTGTTTTTGGAACTGTTCTTATTAAGTTGACAGAGTAATAGACCAAGAGAAAACTGAAGGAAAGTGTAGTGTGTGTGTATCTGTGTATCTTTCTGTCTCCCCTCCCACCTTCCCTTCCTTTCTCGGGCTTTTGGTGTACTCTCTCTCTGCTAGAGCTCGCTCGCTCTCTCTCTCTCTCTCTCTCTCTCTCTCTCTCTCTCTCACACACACACACACACACACACACAGACCCGTCAGTTACAGGTGCCTTGCCTCACTGTCTCGGCCACTAACCCCAAGACCTCTCTTGAATGGTTCTCAGTTTTACATGGGAAGGCGCCAGAACAAGTTCACTTAAGCCAGAGAAGAGTTCCCACTTTGTAGTAACTTTAACTCAGATCTCTTTAACTGTTCTGGGCACAGAACTATAGCACAGATTTGTTGCAGAATTCGCTATACTCAGATACCTTCTGCAGGAGTCTGCATTTCTAAATTCCTTCAGAGTGCTCACCCCAACAGAGAGGACCTTCATGAAGGAAACTTCGCTTCTCTTTTGAAAGCCCAAAGGGCAGGCTTTTTGGTCCTGGAGTTAACATCAAAAAGCTACCAGGCTCCCCAGACCTGTCCTTGTGGTAGGGGACTGAAGGCAGAGCATCACCAGATGTCTCAGCCTAAGTCTAAAAGAGGAGCTTCTTGCTTCTAAGAACTGCTTGGAACTATCTGGTGTACAACTTTTCAGTCATATCTGAATTTCTGCAAAGAGCTCTTCCCAGTTTGGAAATGTAAAATCCCTGTGGCTGTCAGTACACCTTCCTCATTCTTGGGACATGCCTTTCGTCTTTCATCCTGTGTTCCTTGACTAGAGTTCTGGTGACTCCTGGGACCAGCCACCATCAGTCCCAGCAGATGAGGCTTCCCAAGCCTCTAACCCGGCTGCCTTCATCCCCAAAAGCAACTTAACGTTGTTGCCTGGAAGCCACATTATGGGACTTAGCGCGGGGGGCGGGGTGGCAGTCTGGGCCTGCATCACAACTTCCCAGCAGCTCTTGGCATATTCTCAGGAAGAAATGACCACCCGTCACAATATCTTGCCCCATCTCCTGTGAACCAGATTCTTAACGGGTTTAGATTTTATGTCCCTCCATTTTGCCATAAGTGGACAGTTCTGGAATCTGGTCTACCAAGGACTTCCAAGAGCTATACTAACTACCAACTGTTAGTCTTTTCTTGGTAGCTCAAATCCTCTTTGAGGCTGAAGTTTCGGAGAAGCAGTGAGATTTAACACTGCTTGCAGGAGTGCAGCTTCATTTCTTAGCCTTTTCCTAATGGAAGTAAAATTCCCTGCAAGGGAATTAGCTCTTAAAGGCGAGGGGAAAACTTGCTCCAGGACAAAGAGGCATGACTTGTCTGTTCGCCTCAAGAAGCTTACCCTGGCAACAGCGGCAGGCTGGGCAGCCAGGAAGGGTGGTGCCTGGGCCCCCAGATGGAGAGAGACCAGCCTGTCCTCCTGGCACCACTTTCATCCCCCAAATCCCAAGTGGAAATGTCTGCAATGCTCTGCTGACTCTCCTCTGCTGAGCCATGGTTCCTCTCATGCAACCAACCGCCTTGGTCTCCATTCCTGCTCAAGGCACTGAGACTTTCATGGTACACTGGAGCGTTAAGAGCCTGAGTTAAGGCTTTTAGTGCACAATTAAATGCAGCATGTGGTATTATTGTATTATCTGAGACTTAATCTTAAGCATGAGGGACTCTAAGGGCATTTTTGTAGCTTTGGTTTCCCATGATGGGGTTTTCTGTGAAAGGTTTATTGATTCAGCTTCCCCTTGGGAGGAGTTTGGCCAGAAGCTAGTGCTGAACACCAAGGATCCTAAAAGTCCCACAGACACCCATTGGTCCTGGCTCTTGGGGACTGAAATAGTGAAACGGGCCAGCTTTTTCTTCCAAGATGTGCAGCATGGGGTTGGGCAGGACTAGGGCTAGGGTACGGAGTGACGGCCATCTGCTTTGGGTTCCTGGCAGATGCTGGAGCTCTTCTCAGTATTACATCAGCTATCCCAAGAACCGGGGTGGCAGAGTTTGGAGATAGAGGGGAGAGTGGCCCACACTTAAGGTACAAAGCATTCCAATCATGTCTGATAGTTTTTGGGAGAAAATCCTAAGATAAACTGAGCAGACGGCTAAGAGCCAGTGGCCATGCTGTTCCTCACGTATGTGACCAGATCCTCTGGGAATTTTCTCCAAAGTCCATTTAGGGAACATACCCTCTTTTGTGTTTTGTGACTTGCCAGGTGGGGATGTTACGGCTTTCAGAATAGGTTTCTTTGGAAGGCTCGGGGCGGGGGGGGGTTGGGGGAACAATCACCACCTCTGGTCATGGGAAGTTTGCCTGTTGAGGTTGCACTCAGTCTCCTGTGTCTGCTTGTCGGCCCTGCTCTAGGTGCAGCTGAATGCCGGCCAGCTGCAGTACATTCGCTTAGCCCAGCCTGTATCAGGCACCCAGGTCGTGCAGGGACAGATCCAGACACTTGCCACCAACGCTCAACAGGTATGTGCCCCAGAGATGCAGGGCTTGGGGAGGGGACTGGTCGGAGCTGGCTTCTGGCTGCAAAGGAGGGCTCAGCAATAGCTCCTTTGCCACTTCACCCTTCGGCAGGAGCCGCCTCCACACCCTGCACATCTGTTCACCCTAAAGGACAGACGGGGTTTATTGGAGGATTGGATTCAAAGTGTGTCTCTTACTGTCTTGTTCTTGAGGGACAAAGAAATGCGAAGGAGGGGAAATCTCAGGGACATTTGAAGAAAGCCTGATGGATGTGTGTGCATGTCTGACCAGAGCAGGCGTTCTGACAGCATGCCTCATCATCAGGCTGAGTTTCCATCTTTAAAACCAAATAGCTGTTGTGTTCTGGCACTCCCGTGTCCTTTGGAAAGCTTGCGTGGATTTTACTTCCTCATGCACACCTAGCCAGAGACTGCCCCCTTCATCTCCTCTCATCCCCTGAGATATGGAAGACTGTTAGCTGGAGATGCTGAGGGGGCAGCCCCCCTGGGCTTGGGGGTTGGGGGCCATGGGCATCATTTGCAGGGGATGGGGGATGCTGGTCAAGGGGAGGCATTGTTAATGGATTCTTCTACCTCAGACCCAAAAAAAGCAGCGATCGTTTAAGAGCTGGACCCGTCTGGCCCAGTTGCATTTCTGGTGATGTATCTATTGACAGTGGTGACAGAGCTGAGTTTGTAGAGCAGGTCTCCAAAGATTTCATTTGGGAAAACAGGAGGAATGAGCCAAAAGCAAGGCTTCGAAGTTCCATATAGTCTCTGGGATCATTTAAAGGGCCCATTCCAGACCCGTTCCTTGGCTCACATAAGGGCCTGGGCTTTTCTCTAACTTCCTTAGGGTTGACTGGCATGGAGTCACATCTCCAGACTGGTCACATCCTTAGGTACCCTCTTTTTTTAAAAAAAGAACGAAAACAAAAACAACAACAACAAAAAAAACCTTAAGATTCTAACCTGGGATCCAAAAACTTTATGGCATGTGGGTGGGAGGAAATGAGAAGGAAGAGTTTTGGGTTCCTCCGAGGTCCGTTTGGGGACCAGAAACTAAAGCCAGAAAGTGGGGAGAGTCAGGTTTTCAGACAGGAGCGGGGGAGAAGCAAGGAGAGGGCACCTGAGAGCAGTTGGAGTCTGCATTCCAACAGATCTTTTTTGTGACAGCCTGGCACATAGTAGGTACTTGATATGTGTTTGTTGAATGACTAGTATGTAAATGGCATTTAAAGGTAAATGCAACTTTCTTCTCAGCTCATGTGAAGGGCAGTCCTGCCGGCCACAGGGCACAGTTGACCTTCTCATCTATGAAGAATACTTTCCATTTGTCTCAGGGTCATTCATTTATTCTGCAGACATTTCTTGAATACTTATTTGCATTGGGGGCTGTAAAGACGAAACATAGAGTTTCTGCCCTCCAGCCGCTCATAGACTGGTAGGAGGGGAAGGACCCAAAACAAGGCACAACAGTAAGAAACCCTCCTGAAGCCCTTTCACGCCAGTCCCCTCCTCGCTCCCGACAGCCTCATGGGTAAGCCTGAGGGTGGTGTTTGGCTGTCCTCACGTGAGGACACTCAAGAGGACAGCCCTTACCTGGCAGGTTGGCTGTGATGGTTCCAGGAGGTGGTACACAGAGGACGTCACTAGTCCAGTGTTGCGTAGATACACACACGCACCAAGCACGTTTCCGTCTTCTTCCTGGTCTGCCAGGCTGTGTTGAGCAGCTGGTGCACTGTGACGCAGTTCCACGTGGCAACGCAGTTCTTTTCACATGTACTTAAAATCCCACGTGAGATTGTAAGTACGTGTGGTAAATGGTTTCCTTGCTCTGCCCCCTGCTTGGCCCACAGGGCTGCACGTGGCCTGTCTCGGAAAAAGTACTTCATAGGTGTGCCACAAGGGCTTCTGGGGCCAAGGCCACCTCCTTGCCGGGGTGTTTGCTATTCCAGTCAGGTAATCTAGGTGATACGGGTTTGGTTTGGAGCCCACCTTCCAAGAACGAAAGGGACCACTCACCGCTCTGCCCCACGTTTTGCAGTCTGCATTCACTGGCTAAAAGACTCTGGGGTTTTCTGCCTCAGCCGGAAATGTGGGGCCTTGCCATGTTAGCACCTAGGAGCTTGCAGTGAGGGGCGGACATTAAGAGAGGCGGTGGTGGAGGCCATATGTAGTTTACTCTCTGGGGTCCTGTCCTCTGTGCGGTGCCAGCTCTGAGTAGCCTTCGGTAGTAGGGGAGCGGGGACGACCCTTGCTTTCCTGCTATTCCTTCAGCCCTGTTCTGTGCCAGGCCTCATTCTGGCCACTCTGTGCATTGTCTCATGTGGTCTTCACCACCCTCTCCTGGTTGTGGCCTGCCAGAGGGGTGTACCAGGCCCCGCAGCTGACCTGCTTCCTCTGCCTTCTCGATTCCTGCAGATCACACAGACAGAGGTGCAGCAAGGGCAGCAGCAGTTCAGCCAGTTCACAGACGGACAGGTAGGACACCCAGGCTGGGCAGGGGCCGGGGGTGAGGGGTTGTCGGGGGTAGCTGCTGAGATCTCTGGGTTTGGATGCTTAGGGCAACTGTCCCATTTTCTGTTGACGAGTGGGCAGGAATTGTTAAAGCAAGTACGGTCTTTAATTCGGAGTGCCAGTCCTTTAGATTTAGGCTTGTGGGAGCTGAAAATAATCTTACAGTCCCAATTCCCATTTTACAGATGGGTAAAAACTGAGTCCTAGAGATGAGAAGTGTCTTGCTTACTCAGCTCTTCATTGCAGAACCAGGACTAGAATACAGGTCTTCTGTTTCCCTTTCTAGGACTTGTTCTTTTTCTAAGCTAGGCTGCTTTTTAATAGCATGGATTAGTTGAAATGCAGAGAACATGTGACCTCTTGAGCTCTCTTGGTGCCAGGAATTCAGTCATTCTAAACTCCTGTGAGGAAGGAATCTTTCCCTTTCCCTCCACCTTTTCCCTCATACTAACTGTCCCAGAGACCCCTGAATCCATGACAGGATGACACGCCCAAGCCCATGTTCTCTGCTGCCCAGAAGGGAGAGGAGCTGGCATCAGGACCCACCTCTGGCTCCTGCCCCGTACCACGTGCTAGGCTCACATGCCAGGGCTCCTGTTAAGGGGGGGGTCTTTGCCTGTGGGCTTTTTGGGGGGACACCTGAGAAGTCAAGTGTCCTTTTGGCTCTGTCCTTCCATAGTGGCTATGTGAGCTGCTTCTCAGTGCCTCACAGGTCTTGGCTCAGTAAGTGTTTAAACCCAGGCCCCCTCCTCAGCAGCGCCCATGTAGGAAATGCAGGTTCAGTGTAGCCTCAGCCTGAGCCAGATACTCTGAGGAAAGGAGGAGGAGGGGGGTCATCCTACTGCCCCTGCTAGTGAGGAGTACCAAGAGTTGGGGAAATGCGGACTTCCAACCTGCTGGTACAGTGGTTCGAATTGCTTGTGTTTGTCACAGAGGAACAGCGTGCAGCAAGCTCGAGGCTCTGAGCTAACGGGAGAGGCAGAGCCCAGAGAAGTGAAAGCCACAGGAAATGCAACTCCCTGCACCTCTTCCCCGCCCACCACACACCCCCCCTCACACCGGGCCGGAGCCTCCTGTGTCTGCTGCTCCCAGCCCCAGCAGAGCTCCACATCCCCTCCTCCCTCCGATGCCTTACAGTGGGTGGTGGTTGAGGTATCTGGGGCCCCCAGCCAACTCGAGGCCCCTAGGGAGCTGCATGCCCCTCTCCCAGGGATGACCTCACTCTCTCCTCTCCACCCCTCGCAGCAGCTCTACCAGATCCAGCAAGTCACCATGCCTGCCGGCCAGGACCTCACCCAGCCCATGTTCATCCAGTCAGCCAACCAGCCCTCCGACGGGCAGGCCCCCCAGGTGACCGGCGACTGAGGGCCTGAGCTGGCGAGGCCAAGGACACCCAACACAATTTTTGCCATACAGCCCCGGGCGATGGGCACAGCCTCCCTCCCCAGAGGACCCGGCCGACCTCCGCGCCTCCTGCAGGGCTAGGACACTGGTGCACTACACCCCACGCCTGGGGGCCGAGAGTCTCCAACAGAAAGATGCAATATTTTTTATTTCCTTTTTTCCATTTTTTCTCCAAGGAATCAATATTTCAGTATGTTGAGCTGTGTGTCCAATGCTATGAAATGAAAATATTAAATAACATATTTATGGCATTTTCTTGAAGAGTGTGGTTGAAGAAATATTTCTTTTGTTTTCCTTTTTTTTTTTTTTTTTTTTTTATTCTTACCGCCACTTCTTTTCAGGAGCAAATCTCCTCAGGGGGGTACGTTACCTCCTGACTCTTGGAACAGCTGCTGCCCCCAGGATTTGCCACCTCGTTCTGCCCTCAGATTGAGTTAGGTGACTGCGTAGCTTCCTGTTCACTAGTGGTCCTCTCCCGCGACCCTGTGCTTCACCCAGAGCTCTGTGTGTTTGCACCCAGAGGCCATGGAAACATTCCTTGCATTTAAGAGATGAACTCATTCGCCATGGAGAGTGGATGGTTTCATTTCCAAACCCTTCTCTCCCAGGGACCCAAGGAGACTAGAACTTTGTGCATTTGCCTGCCCCCACCCCCATTTTTTATAATGCATTAAAAATTGTGCTAGTCTCCTTTGCTGCATGGACTTCAAACTGCATGAAATGCAATAAATCTCATTTTAGATAATTTAGAGTCTGGGTTTCTGTGTCTGGGGGCATTCACGGGACCACTTTGGGAAACTTGGGAAGGTTTGTTTGCCCTCAGGTTGGGTGTCTATGAAGGAGGGGGGACTCTTGTGAGGAGGGGACTTCAAAGCGAAGTGAAGTTATGCTACGTCTGATTCAAATGGACGTCTTCAGCTGACTTTGAAGATGAGTTACATCAGAATCTTTGCTGCTCAGAGGTGGCTGCCTGCCTTACTTAGACTACCGCAGGTGGGCCAGATTCAGCTGTGTCCTGCTGGCTTGTTGAGGGTCAAGAGAGCATCTCTCACGGAAGAAACTGTCGCTGTCCTTCAGACAAGTCCCTCCACTTCTGTGACACGGACTGGTATCCCGAGCTGCCTCCTGTGGCCATGTCCACTCCAGAGGTATGGTCTCTGGCACGGTGGGCAGCCCAAGCTCCTTGTCAGCCAGCAGCAGGCCAGAAGGCTTCTAGAGCCGGGGCCCACTTCCTAGTCATTGAAGCAGGAAGAACAGAGCATTCCATTTTTTGATTGGCTTTCATTGGCCATGGAGGCCAGCAGTGAGCCACCTTCCTAACCTTCGCCATGCCATCCTTCAACCGGGATGAGGCCTGTTGTCATGGGAAGATCAGGGAACTGAGTGCCAGGAAAAGTAGGTTATTAATTTCTTCTCTGACGGTAATGTGCCATAAAACCTTGGACAACTCCCTTCTCTTTGGACTATCTTAAGGGGTGAGGTGGGGATAGGGAAGGGGCTTTGGTACTAGGCGATTGCAAGTCTCACCCTGATACCCTGGTGATTCTCCCACCAAATGCCCCCCACTGTCAGCCATGGTAAGTACTTGGACATCCATCATCTACTAATTTTCAGTCATTTACCTAAGTGTACCTTTCTTCATTCCACAAGAAAAATTAAGATGGCTTGCACTGAAAATATACACAATGAAACAATAAATATGACAAATTAGAATTAGGAAAAATATAATTGAGTAGGAAATCGGGATCATAAAAAGCAAGAACACAAACGTTCTGGCCATAATACAAACCTACATAGTTGTTAGAATTCTATTTCACATTTGACCCTGGGCTTCCTGGCCGCCAAAGCAAAGAGAAAGATGAGACCAGGTAGAGATTCATACTATAAAGGGAAGAAAAACAACATTCTCTTGCAAAAAGCAAAGATTTTCTTAGTTTTGAGGTTTGGGATACATGGTGTCCCTCCGGTGATACCTTGGGAGGAGAAGCAGGTGGTACTCTCATAAGAAGTCAGTGGGTCTGCCCCACGGGCTTCTTCCTGACTCCCAAGTTTAGTGCCCACCCGCCTCCTGTATCCAGTTCTCTTCGTTCTCGTTCTCGCTCCAGACTTTTCTCTGAAGGGGATCATCTGGCCTTTCCCATTGTCCTGTGGGAAGTCTCAGACATGCAGATAACTCCTGAAAGCCCAGCCCCACGGGGAGAGAGGCAAGCTCGGGGACCCTGGCCTCAGAGGAAAGGCAGCAGCTCAGCTCTTTCATTTCCTAGCTGAGCCCCCCACGTTGAGCCCACAGTACTGCCCCACTTTGCTGCTCTTCGACTCGTTCCTGAAAACCCAAGTAGCTGGATTTTCACACCAGTCAGTGGGGCCCCGTTTCCCACGGACGTCCATTCTTATTTTGGAGATGTTTCGATCAGTTGTGATTGGCAAGCAGCTTTCTGACTGAGCACGTTCCCTTTAAATTTCCCCGCCAGCAGGGCCCATCTGGGTGTAAACAAACACTTTAGTGCAGCCCAAGAGAGCCCCTATCTAATCCCCAGCACGATCCCCTTACATCCGGAGCCTGCTTTCAACATTTTTCCTAGCACTTTTCGGCATCCGTCCTCCCAATGATCTTCAGGTGACCCTGCAGGGGAGACAGGAAGAGGGATCATGATCCTGTGTTACAGATGGAGACATGGGAGGCCCAGCAAAGTGCAGGGACTTGCCCAAGGTCACACCATGAATTGGGGTGGAGCTGAAGCCAAAATACAGGTCTCCTGACCCCTTGTGCATACAGAGTGGCTTTCTAGCCGAAGGTGGTGGCTGTGGTGGTGGTGGTGGTGGGTGTAAGAACAAGGCTTTACTAAATGTGAGCTGTCTCCTTTTATTCTACCTCCCCCAAACCATTGGCCCAGGCTTGAGTATATGTGGAATAAATAAAGCAATTTGATCTGGTGTGTGGACAGCTGGTGGTTGGGATAACTGATGCCTGAGACTGGAGGCCCCTGGGATTAGGAACAGACCACCTGGCCAGCCTCCTTGCTACTCAGTTCTGCTGAGGCCACAAGGGGGCAGCATGCAGCATTTCCCCAAGCCTCAGGAAGGTGCCCTGTCCAACACTTAACCCAACTTGAGACAATTCTAGGAACTACCAGGGTCCTAGGTCCTGAACCCCCTCTTCCGTAAGACCCTTAACTTTTGAAGCCAGGGGAATCCCTGGGGCCACTGAGGGCTGGAAGCACTATCCAACTATTACATTAGGGTAGGTTCTCAAATTTTATTTATTTTTTAAGTAATCTTTATACTCAACATGGGGCTCGAACTCATGACCCCGAGATTAAGAGTCACATGCTCCACCGACTGAGCCAGCCAGGCACCCCGGTTCTCAGATTTTATAAGGACTTTCTGACAGCCCAAATTCATTCAAGGCCCTTCTTAACCCCCCAGTTTTATGTCTTTCCACTCTCCTCTCTCCTGCACTCTTTGCACACTCAGTTACTCACTGGTCCCTGAGCTCACCTCCTTGTTTTCAGAATGTACTGGCCCCATTGCCTGGAATGTCCTTTTATTTCTGTTCCACTTACTGATCTATACATCCATCAAGGCCCCATTTAAATGGCCCTTGCTGAGAAACTTCTAACTCCTGGGGCAGGGTCTACAAAGACCTCTTCCATGCTTCTACAGCAATGTCTACAGCCTCGATTATTCGTGCTCGTATCCATAGTCACTCAGCAAATATTTCTTTGGCACTTCCTGTGTGTCAGAAATTGTTTGGAACGTTGTAAAAACAGCTAAAAATTAGCCGGATGAAGTTTGGGCTATCGTGGAGCTTATATTGGGTTGGGGGCTGGGGGAGAGGGTGAATGGGAATGGGAGAGAGAGAGACAATAAACACAAGACAGTTAGGCTCTGAAGAAACCCCCTATCACTCTGTTAGAATTTTCTGGGTTTGGCTCTCTTCCTCACAGATGGTCCTCCTCTAGTCCAGAGTCTTCTCTGCACCTCCAGAGCCCAGCACAGGGCCCGGCACCAGGAGGATGGCAGTGACTGATGAAGAGTGAATGAACAGATGAACCATGAGAGACTATGGACTCTGAGAAATAAACTGGGGGTTCTAGAGGGGAGGGGGGTGGGAGGATGGGTTAGCCTGGTGATGGGTATTAAAGAGGACACGTTCTGCATGGGGAAAAAAAAAAGAAAGAGTGAATGAACATAAACCCTTCCCCGAAGACAGGGCTTCCAAACCTGTGCCCATTCCCACCGCTACTCGTTTGCTCTTGCTATTGTTTTTTTTTTCTTGTTAATTTTTTTTTATTGAGCACTGATAATATGCTAGGCAGGCGTATCAGATGAAGATTATTCTTTTAAGAAATTTCTGTGTAGGAGAGGTGCCTGGGTGGCACAGTCAGTTAAGCATCCGGCTCTTGGTTTTGGCTCAGGTCGTGATCTCAGGGTCGTGAGATGGAGCCCCGCATTGGGCTCCACGCTCAGCACGGAGTCTGCTAGAGATTCTCTCTCCTTCTCCCTCTGCCCCTCCCGCTCATGCTCGCTCGCTCTCTCTAAAATAAATAAATAAATCTTTACAAAAAATTTCTGTGTAGGAAAATGTATTTAAGGTTGATGCCTCATGGATGATCTCATTTCATCTTCACATCCTCATAAGGTAGGTATTCTCATTTTCTAAGTGAGAAACTGAGTCTCAAAGAGGTTAAGAAATTACCCAAGGGCACCAGCTGGTTGAGTGGAGCCAGGAGCTTCATGAAACCTCCTGTCCCAGCCAGCTCAGCCCCCCTGGTCACTTCCCCTGTGTCCAGTGATTCTTTTCCTAGAGAGAATGAGAGCCCCCTCCCCAGGTAGGGACCTAGTTTTTGTCTCACTGCTCCAACCATCCACACAGGCCTCGGTAAGGTGGCATCTGACCTCCTAGGAGGAGGGGGCCCTAGAGTGGAGGTCAAGTGCCCAGTCGCATGAGCAACTTGGGTGTGGCCTCCCCAAGGCCCCTGAGCTGGGCTGGCAGTGTTACTCCCTGGCTTCGGGGCTGGGCCACTCTCATGGCCTAGGAAGAGGGGATGGGAGGACAGTAAGGCTGGAGCCCAGGAGGGGAGAACCTAAGCTGGGTCCCAGCCGGGCCAGGCTGGGCTGGGTTCCTCTGGCTGGCTGGCTGTTGCTGAGGAGCAGTCCCAAATAGCCTGGCCCCCTGCTGCAGCCTGGAGCCCCATCGCCTCTCCAGCTCCCCAAACCTCCCCCAAGCCCCTGTGCCTCTCTTTCAAGTGAAGTTCTGAGACAGAAGTTTCTAAGATCTTGTATGTGTCAAAATGTCTTGATTTTGCCATTTATTTAAATGATGGTTTGGCAATGTATGGAATTCTAGGTTCAGAATTATTTGCCCTCAGCACTCTGAAGATTCTATTCCATTGTCTTTTTTGGCATCTGTTGTTGCTGATGAGATGCTTACTGTCAATTCAATTATTGGACCTTTGTAGATAAGCTATCTTTTTCTCTCTGGTGGCTTTTAGAATTTCCTTTTTATTCTTGATATTCTACACTTTGGCTAAAAGGTGTCTAGATGTAATTTTGTTTTGTTTTTAAAGATATCTTACTCGGCAGTCTGAGCCTTTTCAATCTAGAAATTCACGTCCTATTTCTGGAAAGATCTTATTCACTCTTTCCAGTAACTTTTTCTGGAACTAATATATGCTGGGGTTTCTCATTCAATCTTCGATGTCTCTTTTCTTTCATATGTTCAATCTCTTTATTGTTCTGTGC